TCCGCGGGAGGGCGAGCCGAGCAGAGGCGAGTATCTAGGTCTGTGTAACGATTTTTAGAATCTCGACCCCACCGACAATCGTCCAGCCCATAAAAAACTTGAGGCACCCCACAGTCAACGCGCTGCGCCAGGGTTTCCATAGCGACCAAAGCCCTTTCGCACCCCTCTGTCGTTGACCTATACCCACGCCTGCTACCCTTAGATCCAGGCTGCCCTAAATCTATTACGACGAATTCAAAGATACTTCCATCGTTCGAGGAAGTATCACCCCCTAACGAAATAAATCATTCAGCCTGACTAGTCATGAAATCGAGAAAATCGGTTTATAGGATATACCAGAGCTCAAAAGTATACCACAAAATTAACCTACATACGTTCTAAAAAGATTATCATAAGATCTTCTGACTTTATTCTCTTGTACTATTCAAAATTCTCTCGAAACGATGATCATTTTCAAACAAAAACTTTAATCGACGTTTTTTCCATTATAAAGAAAAATTAAATTATTCTAAAATTATAGCAAAAATTTTTGCACCTGAATTAATTTGGAAAATCTATCTTGTAACAATGGAAAGAATCTTTCTGTTAGAATCTGTATTTAGATTTATTAATTATCTTTATATTTTCAATGATCATATAAGTATATATAAAATCGATATTTATATATACTCATATTTAATTCTAACAGATAATTTCTACATTTTAATTTATTTAAGAGAATTTAATTTCATATAACATTGGAACGAAGAACAAGCTCTTGGATATGATCGATATAACCGATGTTCGTTTTCACACTTGATCCGGTTTATTGACGCGGACAAATTAGAGACAGAGTGTATGCACACTCTTGCTGCATACAGTGCAATTTCGATGTACGTATGAATTAAATATCATTGGAAAGAGTACGATCAGAATATTATTTGCACTGAATAATTTAGATGCTCCGTTTCGAATGGATGATATTAATATCGATTGTGTATCGAAGATTCATTTCCTCTTGGCTTGTAATCAACTTGTAAAAGCAAAGTGTTTAGAATTTTATGTTTCAGCGAAATATACGAAAGCAAAGGATATCTATGATAATAATTTTGATTGATTAAAATGTGAGAGATAAAATTGGAAAGAGATGCAAAGATACGAAAAGAAAATCGAAATTTTTAAACGATAGTGTATTTGATTAAACTGATATTCTTTATTTTAATTTGTTCAATCCCGTCCAATACTTTGCAATTATTATAAAAATTCTCTTTACCTCGATAATATAGTAGAAAATGAAAATATTTTTCTTAAATAACAAAAATTCTAATAATTGAACAAAACAGGGAACCGGAAATTACCAATTTTTAAAACTCAAAACACTTTGATTTCGATTTTCGTTAACAAAAGCGAAAATAGTTAACCCGGGGCACGTCTCTGAAACAAGGCCAAGTACCTTCGACTTCGTTTATAATTCATTTTTAAAGATCAGCCCTCGTCCTCGACGAAGGGATCATTATCAAGCGTCGTCGAGGGAAATTTAATCGTACAAAAAGAAAGATAAGAAGGCAGAAAGAGAAAAAGAAAAAAAATACAAGAAAATTCAATCGAAAGGGACGAAAGTTCGAGGGAACAAGAATGGAGAAATCGGAGAGGAAGAGGCGCATCTCGTGCACATCAGACATGCAACTTCGTCAGAAAAAGGAATAAGGGAGGGGAGGGAGAAAAAGGTGAGAGCCACGGAATCGTAAATTGAGAATTAAGTATGAGCTGTAAGACGTATATAAATTTTCCTTGTCGATGAATAATAAATGGCGGGGAACCAAGGAGAACACAAGAGAGGGAGACAGTATGTAGCGCAGGCCAACGTGGGCTCCAGCTTCGCCTCGAAGCTGAAGAAGGGCGAGAAGAAGAGATGCAGAAGGAGAAAGAGAGAGAGACAGAGAGAAATAAAGAGAAAGAGAGGGAAGAGGCAAGGTGGAGAGGAAAAGGGTGTGCTGACGAGAGAGATTCGAAGGAGAAGGTGGGATAGAGGAAAACGTGAAGGGAAAAGAGAGGAAA